TTTAACAAAGAAAAATTAACCAAAAAAATGAGTTCGCGTGTCACCTCTGACACGCGTGTCATAGGTTCGCCATCACTGCTTTAAACTGTCCGTTGGAGTACATACTTCCCCACACTTGAGTTTTTCTTTTCACCTATTTTAATATATTTTCATATACAAGGGTGGGCAAAAGTAGGTTTATATTTGTAATAAAAATAAATAATGCAATAATTAATCAATAGTAATACGAGAATAAACTGTGCTTCGTCTATTCATAACTGTGAGTGGTTATCACACCGGGCAGTTCTGAAAAAAAGTAATTACCAGATGTAATTACACACACACAATGGAATACTACTCAGCCATAAAAAATGAAATATTGCCATTTATGACAAACATAAATGGATCTTGAAAGTATTATGCTAAGTAAAATAAGTCGTACAGAAAAGGACAAAAAAAGTATGATTTTGCTCATATGTGGAATATAAAACAAGTAGCAAATAAAAGTCAGATACAGACAACAGAATGGTAGCTACCAGAAGGTAAAGGAGGTCAAATAAATAAACAGAAGGAGACTAGACTTTGGGTGGAGAGCACACAATAGAGTACATAGATATAGAACTATGTAATCTTACATACCTGAAAATTATATAATGTTATTAACCAATGTTACCAATACCTTTTAAATATGTGTAAAATTATTTTAAAAGAAGCAATTACCTACATGTGAAATGTATTCTTATATTGTATTATTACCATCCCCACCTCAATGAAGTACATGATACCCATTTATAACCATAAAAAAAAGTACAGTACCCATATAACTATTGTGTATGGCAGCACCAAAATAATTATCATTTTAATTATTAAAGTTATAAAGCAAACAATTACCTAAAATATATTAACATAAAAAGCTCTCACTATATGGAATATTTCAAAATCCCAATTAACTTTCTACAAAGATTATTCTAAAGGCTAGAAATACAATGGAACAGACTAAGTAATTTCACAGGAAAGGCAGGGGTGGGGGTGGGAGTGATTAACTAAGGAAATTATATGCATATATGCATAGCCCATAGCATAGACTATAGAGTGGTGAAGGCCTAGGAGGGGCAGAGGAGATCGATGGGAAAAAAACAAAGGGGACAACTGTAATACTTCCAACAATAAAGATAAATTTTAAAAAGAAAATATTACAGATGTCCCCTTCCCTCCCCCCAGCATATTTTTCTATTTCTTGAAGTTATTATTAGTATTTATGTTAGTTTCCTAGGGCTGCAGTAGCAAAGTACCACAAACTGGGTTGTTTAAATAACAGGAATTTATTATCTCACAGTTATGGAAGCTAGAAGTTCAAGATGTAGGTGTCAGCAAAATTGATTCCTTCTGAGGGATATGAGAGAGAATCTGCCCCATGCCTCCCTCCTAGCTTCCTGGCAGTGCCTTAGCTTGTGACAGCATAATTCCAATCTTCTCATGACATTCCCTCCCTCCCCCCATGTGCATATCTATATACAAAGTCCTTCTTTATATAAGGACACTGGTCATATTGATTATGAGCCTGTCCTACTCTAGTATTATCCAATTCCAAATCCACCTCCACATTTGTAGGTATTTGTTACAGCAACACCCTACTTCTCAGTACCAAAATCTATATTAGTTTGCTAGGGATGCCATAATAAAGTACCATAAACTTAATGGCTTAGACAGCAAAAATATATTGTCACACAGTTCTGGAAGCTAGAAGTCCAAAAGGAAAGTGTTGGCAGGGTTGGTTCCTTCTGAGGGCCCTGAGAGAAGGACCTATTGGCCTCTCCCCTTGGCTTGTCTTTACATAATCTTTCCTCCATGTGTGTCTGCTTCTCTGTCCAAATTTCCCTTTTCTATAAGGACACCGTATTATATTATGTCATATTACATTAGGTTTCACCCTAATGACCCCATCTCTATTAATTCTATTTTCAATAATGTTATCTATATAAAAGCCTAATACGCTAAGTGTCCAACCAATTGGTTGACTGTTCGGTCAACTGTTTGACCAGTTGCTATGACGTGCACTGACCACCAGGGGGTAGACGCTCCAACCAGTAGGTTAGCTTGCTGCTGGAATCCAGTTGATTGGGACTGGGCCAGATGGGCTGGACATGTCCTGGAGTCCTCCCGCAGTCTCTCCTTGGCTGGCCAACCTCCTGCATTTCCTACCCGGCCGGTTGGCCCCCATTGACCCCAATTGGGAGTGGGCAAGTCGGCCCCGATTGCTGGCCAGGCTGAGGGACCCCACCTGTGTACAAATTTGTGCACCAGGCCTCTAGTTTCCAAATAAGTTTACATTTAGAGGTGCTGGGGGTTAAGATTTCAACATATGAATTGGGCAGTGAACCTATAACAGTATCGTTGAATAGATTTTCTAATTTTTCTATGTAGGTCTTTACTTTGTTAGATTTATTCTATGGTATTTGTACCATTTATCAATTTATTGCTTCTCAGCTTGAAACGTATCCTTCAATATATGCTCTGTGATATAAAAAAATTATAACTGTGTATGATGCCAGGTGGGTAATTGAATTATCAGGGATCGCTTTGTAAACTATATAATTGACTAACCACTATGCTGTACACCTGATATATATATATATATATCCATCTGACCGGTAGCTATGACATGCACTGACACCAGGAGCTGCCATGACGTGCACTGGCCATTTAAAAATAAATGGCACCACAGACCTGGCGCCAACAAACTAACACTTGGCTTCCCCCAAGTGGGACACAGGCTCCACCACCACGCTGGGGGTGACATCCCGCCAAATCGCAGGCAACGTTGCCAAGACCCCATGACACAAAATGTGGCCCCCAGCCCAGCCCGGAAACGGTCACTGTGGGTGCTAGGTAATGACATCACGTAGCAACGCCCGGCTTCCTCTCCCTAGCAGCTAGCCTCCTTGGAGTTTCTTCAGCTCAGGAACAGGACTTGCTTTATAGCCAGGTGCAAACATTTTACAATTTAACCAAATGTCTGTGAAGCGTTTTCCCGTGCCTCATCTCATTTGATCCTCACAGAAGTCCTGGAGTAGGTAGATAGGAGACTCGGTG